ATAATCTACAGCACATTCTACAAATTACCAGGTTTAGACAACAAGCGGGATATTCGCTTGATCAACATGCAAAATTAAGGTCACTATGGCCATGTCCAGATGTGCATGGACATCTGGTTCGCTGGGGATAACCAGTGGCAGCGCACCTTGTGCCACAGTTAGCTGTTCCTGGGAAACTAGGGTTGCCAAATCTGACTGAAGTTATTCCAGGAGATTTTTTTCTCCCAACATGACGCAATGTCATTAATAGGAGTATACTGATAAAGATTTTTTGGGCTGATACTGATGGCCAATTTTTAACAAGCTGTACTGATACCAATCTGGTTACCGATATGCAGCCCAGCAGCTCAGAAAGCAGAGTCTGGCTGGAAAGTCTGTTGTGGGGGAAGGGGGGAGGGAAGGGGCATGCAGATTGAGGTCCCTGCAGTGAGGGAGGGAGTGGGCTGGGGCAAGCGCTGCACAGCTGGGTCAGAGCATGGAGTGCAGCCATAAGCAGCTCATCTGGGGGGCGTGAGGAGGGAGTGATGGCTCCCACCACTATGCAAACCTGGGGAGGGCATGGGGGGCATGTGCTCCCAGATCTGCCTGCAGGGCGAGGGCAGGCTGCTGCTGGGGACTGGGGCCAGTGCCAGGCTCTTTCCAGCAGAGGGCTGGGCCAGGCTGCACTGGGAGGGGCTCTATTGGGCGGGGAGGCTGGGGCCTGTTGCAGCACCACTGCTGGCTGCCTGCCCCGAGTACAGCCCCAGCCCAACCCCCCTACCAGGAAGAGTCTGGAGCCACCCCCAGCAACAGCAGCAGCCCACCCTCGCCCCAGCACCCCTCATGGGGCGTGTGTAGCAGCAGAAGCTTCCCCCCACCCCGCAACCCTTAGGCGAGGCACTTGCAGCTCCGCCCTGTGCTCTGCCCCGGCTGTGCAGCACCTGCCCTGGCCTCACTCCCTCCCTCACCACTGAGGCCTTGATTTGTCCCCCCCTGCCATGCCCCTTCCCTCACAACAGACTTACCGGCCAGACCTGGATGCTCTCCATGCTGCCAGGCTGTGCTCCTGACCTCCTGCATGCCGCACTGTGGTTGTGCACATGCACAGGGCATTTATTGGCTGTTCAATCCGTTCACAATATCCATCTCCTGGATTGCTTTCAATAGTCACCAGGAGATTGATGCCGATTCCAGTAGACTCCCAGCCAATCTGGGAGGGTTGGCAACCCTACAGGAAACACCTGCACCATGCACACTCTGGTGTGCAGCAAGTTACCATGGGTGGAGTAGAGGAGGCTGGAGCCAGCACTGGGCTGGCCCCAGAAACCTTACCTGGAGTCCTGAGGGCCTCCCAGCGCTGATCCTGTTGCATGAAGTCTGGCCAGCACTGGAATGCAGCTCCAGCTGGCCAGGCTCCAACTTTGGGTGGCGCATGCTCCCACCATGTGCGCCAATCTGCTTTTTTTTTTTCCTGTGATTTTTTTTGACCCCTGGATATCCAGGGGTCAAAAAAACCTTCCATGCTGCTCCCTTGCAGCATGGAGAACTGAACGTGTGGTATGTGGTGCCGTATGACTGCGGCCAATATGGCTATCAGTACGCCACAGACATTGGATACCAGTCAAAAACCCAATAACATTGGGCACTTGAGTCATCAAAAAAATACTTGATCAGCTGATGAGTCAAATATTGTCAAATAACGGTAAAATATTTTAAGCATAAATTAATTACAACAGTGAAGAGAGAGACTTCAATCTTCAGTTAAGTTAGATACTTTGACTTAAAAAAAAGTTAGTTAATGGTTGTTGCAAAATTCTAAAAAATAGTAAAGAATTGTTATAACAATCCATGTTAGGCAAGTGGGAATGTGAATGACATTAAAGACTGAACAATTCTTCTTTTTCTTGACTTTAATCCTAAAACCTCAGGCCTGAACTGTTGCCAACAAAACTTAAACAGAAACAAAACAAACTTAGCAGTAGGAGTGTGCAAAATGGGCTGTATTCTATTTGGATTTGGCCCAAATCAGGGACAGTGATTTGATTTGTTGATTCGGATCACTGTCCCCGATTCAATTCAGCTGAATCCAAATCTGAAGATTCAATGCTAATTCAGAGAATCAATGATTCAGCCATAGACACAGCTTTAAATATTTTTTCTACATACCTCAAGGTACCAGGCGCAGCTCGTGAATGCTGCGATACTGGGGCAGATGGAGCATCCCACAGGAGCATGTGGGAACCCCCCATGAGCTCAGCGGTGAACCCAGAAATGGACTGGAAGTACTTCCGATCCACTTCCGGGTCTGCTGCTGAGCACGTGGGGGGAGGAGGGGGCCACATCCCCCCTGGCTCACCATCGGCTGTGGGAGGACGCCAGGTCCCCCCGCCAAACCCAGGAGGCACCCAGTTGCCAAGCTGGGGGAGCACAGGGGGCCCCCTAGTGCACTCCCTGGCAGACCCAGAAGTAGACCAGAAGTACTTCTGCTCCATTTCCAGGTCTGCTGCCAAGCACGCTGGGGAGCGCCCCCCCCACTTCTGTGGGATGCTTCACCTGTCCCAGCATCTTAGCATTCACGAGCCGTCTGGTACCTTGAGGTATGTAGAAAAAACATCTAAAGCTGTGTCTATGTCCAAATCATCAAATCTTTCCGAATCAATTTGGAGAGTTCCAATTCGATTCAGAGAGATTAAAGGGTCTCCTGATTTGATCTGGATTCAGAGATTCGGCCACCAAATCGAATCAGGGACCAAAGCTTCGCACAGCTCTACTTAGCAGCTATAAAAGACATAGTCAGTTTTTAAAATTTAGTTATGCAAAGCAGGGAATAGGCTAACTCTTCAGGCATTTTGTGTTTGCATTTGGAGATGCCTGCAGTCACAGCAGACAGCCATCAGGGGAAGGGTTGTTTTTATTTTATGCTGCTTAGTTTTTTATTTTTACTATGCTGCTGATACAGTCTCCTGACCCTGCTAACAGATGACGCTATGATACTACAAAAAAAGGTACGCCACCACATATACAAGGGCATTCTTGGCTTTATAGAATATTTGACAATTTTTGACCGGGGTCAAATAATAGGCAGTCAACTGACATGATTTGACTGGTCAATCAGCTAGCTTGCCAACCCTAGTTCAGAGTGAACTGGGTATCTTTCCAAGGTGCTGTGCTGAGCTGGGTAGATATACCCCATCAACCCATATTTCTAATTAGGTTTAACTAATCACATCCATCACAAAAGGTTTCTCAGGTGCATATTCCAAACCCACAGAATTTTCACTGAAGTCAAACATACCCCCATGCAGATATTAGAGTCAGGAGTCAAGTGCTTAGGGGAATGAGTTTTAAACTATTACAGGGTACAGTTTGTGCATTGTATTTAAGCTGCAGTTTTTAAGGAAGGTTATACTTTTTTTCTCATTTAAATGAATGAGAGCTGGAAGTGAGTACTCGATGTTGTTCATTATTCTTTAAACAACAAAATTTTTAAAAATTAGCCTGCCTTTTGCCAGCATAGAAAAGGGCAAGTTGTTTGCCTGGAAGATATTCAGATACTAGTGATGGACAAGTATATACAACATTAGATCTGGCCAGTTACAGAGAATGGATCTGAAGTCTGCTGAAGTAGTAGAGCAGGAACAGAAGTAACTTCTGGAGCCTGCCACCAGAATGTAGGAAATGATGGCTGTAGTGCCAGTCATTTTCAAAAGAGATGGTAATGGATTTCATCTCACATGGATTTATCTACACTGCAGTATCCAACCACTTCACAGTCTTTAAATACATTTTTCCTCATGGCACTGTCTGAAGGCCCCAATTATGGATGGGGGTCATGGTGGTAGAGGCAACCATAATTTTTCAGAAGTTGCACAGAATTGATTCGATCTTTGCAGGTTAGTCTAAGATGTGTGGATGGAGCCAACAAGTGAACAGACATTCACTTCTAATTCCAGAAATGCAGCCCATGTCTGCAGGGGCGCAGACCAGAAGCTAGGAGGGTGTTAGATCACACGTCCCCACCTTGGCTGCAGCAGACAAGCATGAGCTAAGGCTAGTCCACCCATGCTGTGAGGAAGGGTTGCAGAAGATGTGCAAAGCATCCTGGGATGCTGGTGGACTGTCAATTAACTGGAATCTGGAGGGGGGATCTGGGACAGAAGTTCAATAAACCAATTTAACTTAAATCTGTTAAATCTGATATTACATCCATCCAGGTTTATCTTAAACTGGTTTCAGCCATTTTGAAAGTGATTTATGTGCAGTGAACTTCTGTTGTGTTACAAATTTGAACCAGTTTCTGATCACTTATATGGTTTGTGTGTAACTTCTGTCCCTAGCCTATCAGATCACCTTTCAGTTGACTTGACTTTTCTTTTTCTTACAAGGTTTTAGATTGCTGAGTACCATGAAAAGAAAAAACAACTATGAGGTTCTCCCCCCCACCACATTTTAAATTACTTTTCTTAAATCTGAGGATACTTGATTGATGTATATCCCAGGAGTATATTTTTTCCTGAAGTATTTTAAGATTCAGGTCAAAACTACTGAAGATGATCCATATATTGAAGTATTACTATAATTATTGTTAAAACTATTTATCAAAATTCACAACTAAAATGTTTCTGCAGTTGTCTGCTCAGAAACTTTATTTAGCTCAAAAAAATCAAATCCATGTTATTTTAATACTGATGTTCTTTTAGAACTCACCTACACAGTGTTAATAATAGCCATGTTTTTCTTACTTTCTATCTATTTCTTTTCCTGTGTTTAAAGATTAAGGTTAAAAAGAATACTGCCTACTTTTTAGCATTCTTATAACAACTGTATGAAAACAGAACAAATAAAATAGGTTATTCTTAGGTAGACAGTCACTATTACAATAATATAACAAAACTGTGAAACAGGAGGAAGCAAGTGGTAATAAAACTTTGAAAGAGTAAAACCAAATAATTGCTATTTAAATATGAAAAACTGTGTCAACGAAACCCCTTCCCACAAAAAAACCCCACAACCCTTCTTACCACTCATCAGTGAAGTCCAGTTTTATTGTACTTGTAGTTGTTCCTTCTGTACTGTAGTGCAAACTTAAAACTGGTTCACCTGTTCCTGTGCGTGGCTTTTCACACTCTGTAACAAGGTTAATAAGGTTTGAATAGTGTCAGTATTTAACATAGAATGTGTATATTTGTGTAGATAGTTCTATCATTCATTTAACAAAACCAAACATGGTTGGCTCCAGTAAAATCTATTCAGAAGTCACATACAGCCCAAACAGAAGTTAAACATTTCATACTGATCACACCAAATCCACACTTTGCAAAGGTTAGGGTTCAGCCCATAATTAACTATTTATATTCACGCCAACTAATGAGGGATATGCTCTCCTTAGATAAAACTATGAGAGTCTCACTGACATGCATAGGAGCCATAAACACAAAGTAATAATTTGGTCCTCTGTGAAGAGAATCAATGTATATGTAATGCACAAACAGCAGGAATTAACAATATACATTTTCAGCAGTGGTAGTCAACATCTAACTGAAGTGAAAACATATTTCAGAAAGATTGTGGGTGACATTCAGTACTCTGGACAAATGTGACCCATTCCATTTCTTTTGTGTTATGAATGGAAACCAGACAAATGTCCTGAACTTACAAATGCCCTTACAGAGTTTTGTCAAGTCAGATGAGGGACACAAAACTTTGTTTTACATGGTAAAAGTGGATGGGGAAAGAACTTTCAAACTTCAGCAACAGGAGAAATCCACATTGGGAAAGAACAAACAGCAGACCACAGGAGTTCTGAACTTTGATGAATAGAATTAACAGATCATGGGGCAATGGTGGACTGGACTCAATGACAAACATCATCACATTCTTTCCTGAAGGATGTTCACGGCCAGTAGGTCCATCTATACCACAGTCCTCCTCACCAAAAACACTTAAGATTGCAATTGTCAATGTCTGCTACTAAAGGTCAGAGTGATTAGTATCAGATACAAACTTGCTTGAAAGCTGCGGTTTTTTTTCTCTGGATCCAGCCCAAGAGGAGAATTCTGGATTTCTACACCCCAAATGCATCTTATCAATAGTCCACCTGAGGCCTGGTTATACCATACACATATCTTGATATAATTTACATCCGTTTGTAAATTACTAATGTAAGTTATGCCAGGATTAGGAACAGAGAGGCATGCAGCTCTCCCAGGGTAGCTGTAAGCAACAGGGGGCACAATACCACCTAGTGGCAAAACACAGTAGTAGCTTGTCTATCTTTGGCATACGGCTATTGAGGAATGACAGCAGACATCAACTTAAACCAGTGTTACTTACACCAGTTGAATTTTACCCAATTCTTTTGGTAATGTCACACCAAATAAGTAAAGTTATTCCAGTTTTATGACCTGCCTTGCTTGTCTGCTCCTTTCTACATCAGTAATGCTGATTATACTGGTATAAGCATGCCTGTTCAGGCCCTGACTCTACCCTTGCATAAAAAAGGAAATTTTAGTCATGATTTGCTATTGATATAGTGTTCATATGCTATTTCTTAAGTATCAATGTGCTGTTCCCTACTGTTGGTACTGAAGTTTCAAAAAAAAAACAAAAAACCCCCCAAAAACCCCCATCTTCCTCACAAAAAGCATTTTTGCTTGATCTTGTTATGAAACCATAACCGTAAGTCTCTAACTTTATAAGTTATTTCCATAACGTACAAGACTCACAATAAATGTTAAATTTTGCCCACTGAAGTAAATTACATTTCTCTATATAATTATAGCATCAAACTGTGTCTTCACAGTGCCACTGCAAAATCTAAAAGAATAGCTAAGCTTATCTGACAGAAAAATTCCAGTTTTAAAACACATCTCTCTCCCCTAATAAAGACAACAAAATGAAAAACAAATGGAAGGAAAATGGACATGATTAAATATGCCATTTTAAAAGTATTCTCCAGATCAAAAGTCCTCTTTTAAGACAAAGATTCATAGTTTCATAGTTTCTAGGGTCGGAAGGGACCTGAGAAGATCATCTAGTCCGACCCCCTGCCATGGCAGGAAAGAGTACTGGGGTTAAACGACCCCAGCAAGGTGTTCATCTAACCTCATCTTAAAAACCCCCAGGGTAGGAGCCTGCACCACCTCCCTTGGAAGTTGGTTCCAGACCCTAGCCGCCCTGACTGTGAAATAGCGCCTCCTGATGTCTAACCTAAATCTACCCTCTGCTAGCTTGTGACTGTTGTTCCTGGTCACTCCTGGCTGTGCTCGGGGGAACAGTGACTCCCCCAATGCCTTCTGATTCCCCCCTGACTAGTTTGTAACAGGCCACAAGATCCCCCCTCAGCCTTCTCTTGTGAAGGCTGAACAGGTTCAGGTCCCATAGTCTCTCCTCATAAGGCCTGCCCTGCAGTCCCCTGATCATGCGAGTGGCCCTCCTCTGGACCCTCT